CACGCCTACGCCGGGCGGTGCAATGGCGTAGGGAGTGTGGGACTCGCCGGCCACAGAAGGTGACCAGAATACCCACTAAAACCTGACTGCCCTCTAACGCATCGGGACGGGACCACGGGCACGCTTTCGCTCTCGTCCGCGGCCCCGTCTACGTCTGTCTTACTCACTTATCCTGCGCTTTTCTTTTGTTCCTTTTTTTTTTGTTCCAAACTTAACTTACCCTATGTAGTTTTCTTCGTTTTTTTTCAACTTAAGTTACAACTCCAAAAAAAACTTCCAAAACAGTGTTCGAATATGCCCTATCGTTTAAGACATATGTAATGGAAATTTGGCTTGATTCGGTTTTGTGAAGCATTACCTTTTATTTTATTAAGAACTTCTATACAATTTCAAAGCGAACTTTCACTTCATTGACTTTTACTAAGTAATTACGAATATAAAAACATTTAGCAACATTTTAACGTAAATATGGAATAAAATTTATTTACGTAATTACGTATTTAATGTTTAAATGTAAAGAAATCATAAATTTTTACGTCACAATATATTCATATGCACTATGGTTTTTTTTAAACAGCCCAAAAATTATAGAGAAACTTATGAGTGAGATAGATACACAATTTTCAAGATGGAGGATCTCCGTTTGCGTTCAATTTGTAGCACAGATTATAAAAGTTTCGCTTGCCTGAAAATGACACTAAAAAGTTTTTTAATCTATATATGAACTTTCGAAATAGTTGTCAGTGACATTTGTCTGTTATCATCACAACAAGTTTTATGGGATTTATCTTATCATATCGTATTATAGTTGTGTTTATAAGAATGTACTTGTAGAATATTTATTTTGTTTAGTGTACGCATTTCCAATTGTACCTACCTTACATAATGGCTCGCAATATCCTTAAACTGGGAGCTTTGGAAGCTCAAAAAACTGCTTTCCTCCTGTGTGACATTCAAGAAACCTTCCGGCCCCATGTAAAACACTTCGGCGAAGTTGTTAAAGTGGCGAATAAGATGGTAGTTGTTTATTCTTAAACTAAGATATTTAATTATTTTTACCGACTCGAAGCCGTCATTATTACGTAACTCAAATATATATTTCATTCGTAATGATTTACATTTTTAAGGTTATCTTTTAAGACTTTATCTTTTAGGATATAAGAGAATCACTTCATCGTTGCAAATTTTGGATTAAAATGCTGGTGATCTCCAGGTGCGATCTCGGTGTGGCGAGGTATTAAAATATTTAATTCTTAATTCCAGGTGGCAGCAGCAAAAGTCTTTAACATCCCGGTGTATGTTTCGGAGCAATATCCCAAGGGTTTGGGTCATACCACAAAAGACATAAACATATCTGATGCTGCTTTAGTTTATGAGAAGACTAAGTTTTCTATGTATACTCCGGAACTGCAGGAAAAATTAAAAAAAGATGTGCCAAATTTGAGCTCAGTTATATTGTTTGGTATTGAAGTGAGTATTATTTTCTTATTAAATCTTATACAGCTTACTTTATTTAACTGATTTATATATATATAACTTATAAAAATCAAAAAGTGCTCCACTGGGTGAGAAATCACATGAGTATTCCTTTATTGCAAGTTGCATCAAACTTTTTGAACCTTCAATTTGTATGAAAAATCTACACAAGTATTTAGAATCTGTTTTATACTCTTTAATAGCTAAAGCATCTCAGAGTTGTTGGAACCATAGCGCTTGACATTACTAGCTAAGGCATTTTCCGATCTATATTTATTATTAGTATTTTAACCTTTTAAAATTATTCATGTATGTTTCAGGCCCATGTTTGCATTGAGCAGACAGTTATTGATCTACTGAATGAGGATATCAACGTTCATGTTTTGGCCGATGGTGTATCTTCAAGGTCATTAATGGATAGAGGGTTGGCTCTACAGGTATATAAACAATATTCTAAATATTGATACTTACACTTTCTGCACTTCAACTATCCATAGTTTTAAAGAAGTTTCTGGTCGAAAAATTTAGTGTATGCATATAATTCAATCATAGAAACATTCAGCTGTCGCCGGTGACTCCGTCCGTGCGGAATTAAAAAATAAGTAGCCAATGTGTTCTTTTGGACTATGTTCTACATCTGTGCCGTATTTCATCAAGATCTGTTACACCATTCTGCAGATACCTTCTAACATCCATCCCTCCATCCATTTAAACTTTCCCATTTATAATATTAGCAAGATTACATTAGAATGCCCTATAGGGTGCGGTATATGGGTTTGCCGAGATCACTCCTAGAGAACACCAGTAACATAAAGGAATTGCTTTTTCGGTGAGCTGGATAGGCTAGTGTGATCCACGTTCTGCCTTCACGCGAGATATATGGAGTTAAAACAGTAGCCTTCATAATTAAAAAACTGTAGAAGTCATTAAAAATGTAAATGGTTTATCAAGTGGGGTATTATACAAATATTTGATTATTACAGCGGATGCAATCATTGGGATGTTTTATAACAACATCTGAGAATGTCTTGTTCAAGCTGCTACGAGACAAGAATCATCCCGCTTTCAAAGATATATCCAAACTTAATAAAGTACCCACAGTTGATATTTTAGGTTATGTCACATCTAAGTTATAGGTAATAAGGTAGATTCAATTTTTTTTTGGATGTATTATGTAATTTTGCTTATGTAATTTGATCTGGTTGGTTTTTATTTTGATTTATTTTTCTCATTTAATTAAAAAAAAACTTTGTTGGTGTGACTTTTAGATTAAAGAAAAAAATAGTTAGAAATAGATTTTTTTAATATGTTGTTTTATACTATGTATTAGTTAACTTTGTAAAATCTGTTATAAAATTACTACTGTAAGAAAGAAAATTCATTTTATTAAGGCAAATTACTAATTCAGGTTTTTTTTCAGCGTTTCCAATCCATTGGCTGTTTTGTGGGTACATCAGAGAATGTTCTGTTCAAATTATTACGAGACAAGAACAATCCTGCTTTTAAGGAAATATCAAAATTAAACTTAAAACCGACTCCTGATGAATTTGGTATGAGTTCATAAAATATTTTTTTGGGAAAAAAAACGAAAAATAAATAAAAAATTGGTATATGTAATTGATGATTATCTAAGCAGTAAGTTATCTAATTTTATTCATATTATTATGTTTTAAATGTTTATTTCAAATAAAACAATATAAAATAAAGTTTATATCAAATAAAATGATATAATATCAATTAAATGTTGTTTTTTTTTAATTACCAGATAGCTACAGATTATCTACAAAAAACTTGATAAAATAAAACAAAATTAATCCTATGTAAATATATTATGGAATTATGAAAGTTATAAATATAAATGCTTGATATCACACTCAGTTATTTAATGGTGTCTTTAGCTTAATATCTAGAACATCCTTAGTGTCCAATTAATGTTTCTGAGTGCGATATTTAATTCTTAGTTTCACTTCAACAGCGACCATTTAAGTTGTTCCTTGGCGGACTGCAGCACCTGTAACAAAGTAAGTTATAAAATGTATTGTTCACATTTTTTATAATTTTTTTCATTGCAAAAAAATTTACTCCAATTCAATGGAAATAAAAAAAATTGGAATCTAACCTAAAAAATTTTGACATATTTATATTAAATAAAACGCTGAAACTTTGCAAGATAAATCCATAGACAATAAATAAAATAGTTAGCCATGTGGTCATTGTAATTTGTTATTCCCATTGAATTCGACTATACATTTTCTCAAACAGAATGATAATATGACAATAAGTTTTGGAACAAGTTCTTTTGCAAATTAAACTCTTAAGTAATAAATTAAATGCCAATTTTTTTTCTATATTTTTTTTAGGAACACAATCCCTTTTGACTTATAATCTTATATTTACATAAGTGCTCACTTAATAAGATGGATATTTCCTACGTTAAATTATAAATCGGTTATATTGACTTTAATAATAAGTTAATTCAATAGTTTTTGGTTTATTACGTTAAAAGAAATTAAATAAATAAAATATATTCCCGTAACATACTTACCAATATTGATGAATACAAAATATTACTTTTATTAATATCAACAATGCATTCCAAATAAAAAAGTGCATGAACTCTCAATTTTGTGATATCAGAACTCAGAAAAATCAGTTAAAAAAAATTGTCAATGATTTTTCACACGCACATTTTTATTTGAAATACATTTGTGCCTATATTTACTTACCATAGTAACTGTAATGAGATTAATTATTTAGACCTTACATAACACTTTATAATGTTTTAATCACCATACTTGGCTTTCGATTTTGTCATTTTTCTTTTCTTTCTTTTTCCCTCTTATAAGAATACAGTACAAACCAAATAAAAAAAAATATTTTGTAAGGAGCCGTTAATATATATTCCCATGAACATTTTAGTTAAGCATTCAAAGTTTTACTACCAATCTCTATCATTGAATTTTCCATTAAATGAGAAGTATAGCTTTATCATAAGAAATTAACACAAAGAGACTGATAAGTATTAATAAAACAAATCAGTAGTAAAATTTTAAAGCATAAGTTTGGACCAAATAAAGCTTAAAGAAAACATGTGTAAATCTTTTTGAGAAATTTAAAAAAACTAAAAGGGGTGATTATTTTTCCAAAATTAAAAACTAATTAATAATTAACATTTAATCATAAAGAAATAAAAAATAGAACATACTGAGAAAATACAACAATACATAACATACAAACTTGCAGAATTTCTAAATACCTCTAATAATTGCTTTTTATTAGCTCGGTTAGAATCTGAAAAACAGAATTAGTACTACCAGTTTATTGCCAGAAAAAAAAAAGTTAAAACAACTAAAATGATATCCCAAATGTTCAAATGGCACAGGATGTTATTAGCTTACGAATCCCAACTGTTGAATATTATCTGAAAGTTGGAATTAGATATGAAAAAGTAAAAAGAAAAAGATAAATAGAAAATTATATAAAAGATATTAGTATAGACAAGTTTGTCCAAAACAATGTCTGTGGTAACATTAATTATTTTGAGAGATATAATTTTTGAATTGTTAAATAAACAAAAAACAATGTTAATATAAAACAGAAAACATAATCAATGCTTTTGGAATTAATTTGTTTTTAAAATAATTTCGTAATGACACTTTTTTTTACTAAAAAAGTGAGTATTTCTTTGACTAAACCGAATAAACATTGATAAAAAAATGCCAACTTATTATATGACAATCCAATCTTTATCTGTTTATATTATTGTATTGTATTGGAACGTAACTGTCAAATGTCAATGTCACTAATGGCTTTCGCCCGGAATATCGTTGACTCGTACTTGAAATAATTATGAAGTTATGAATTACCAATATATAAAAAATACATGGCACAGTCGGAGAATACATTATAACGGGTGAAGCCTGACCACAAAAAGAAAAGCTCCTGGAAATGGACAACGTTAATACGTGTAGGTGAAGATTCATGACGACGAGATAATGGTCATTTTGTTAGGCATGCTTCTTAACGACGGAGCGGTAGGAGTAATAACCTACATAACACATCATCCACTAAGTACCTAAGTCTAATAGAATTTTGCTTCAAGAATGGATATTTCCTGTGCTAAGGTGATTTTCATTTGCAAATGGATGGTGTCGCATTGGGCTCACCAATAGCACCAGTTTCGGTCAACATATTTGTGAAAAATTTAGCGGAGGAAGGGTTACGCCAATGAGACCCAGGTAATTGAGGAGGTACATGGACCTTGTGTTTGCCATTGTTTCAAGACAGGGTGTGGGACAACTACGGGACAACCTGAACAAATTACATCCCACGTTTAAGTTTACGACGGAGCAGGAAAAAGATGGAATCATCCTCTTACAGGTGTTAGTGAAACATGAAATGGGTCATAGCCTAGTGCATAGCATTCAGGCAAATGATTGGTACCTAAGGGCAGATTCCCACCATCATTCGCATCAATTCTGTTTTGCTGTATGTCTGCAGTTATATGAAGATCAACTTAATTTTAAGATTACCATCACCATTTTAGAGTATAAATTATTCTTACTAATTTTAGTTTCTAAGCTTTTTACTAATCCTAGAATAACAATATGGATCCTTGTAATATAAATCAAATAAACTATTATTACAATTATTCTTATAAAAACAATCAAATTTGTATGATTTTTCATTTCAGACATGTGTTTGATAAAAAATGTATCCTGAGGATCATTTTGGCACAAAAAACCTAATGAACCTATTCAAAATAGAAATTAAACATATGTGTTCAAACTACATCTAAAAATACTAATAAAATCCATATATGAACATACCACTAATGAATGAAGAAACCAGTGTAAATTTGACTTATTACTATATACATACTTTCAGTGTGTGTACAAAATATATTGAACATTTGTTGAAAGTGAACCACCCTAAACACTCTTTTCTAGTAATACTTTATTATTCACATAACAAAAAAAAAACGATACATATAGGAATACTACAACTACAGTGCCATCCAAACTTTACAGCGGCTCAGAACACAATAGATACAGTGGTATAAGTATGTGTTATAGCCACCATAAAGATTGCATATTATAATACCTGTATTCAGGGCTTTTTAATTGGGGGCATGAAGAAAATATGAGATAAAATATATTAAAATATGGCTTTTAATAGGTCATAGATTTCCTAGTATATAAAAAGTTATGTACTTACAACATTCGAAATTAGCATGCCCCAAAAAAAAGTGACAAAAGTCCTGACAGTACAGATGAGTATGTGTTGATAAACCACAAACAAATTAGTCACCAGAAGAGTTTATTGAAGTTGTCTATGATATGTACCTGGGCTACAGTCTGCTCGCCGAGCGGCACATCCTCAGTACGTAGCGCTGCACGACCCACGATGGACGTCGGATCCGAGTCCAAGATCACACTGTAAAATACAAAAATACAATTTACTAAAAATATAACTGAGCCAGTAAATGAAAAATTTTAAGAAAATGTTTAAGATTATTATAACACTAGCTGTGATGAACTCCGTCTGTGGGGACCGATCTATTGGGGGTCGATACAGTATGTACTACTCCTCCATACATCTCTATCAACCCTCATAGCCGTTTGTTTACACATGCTAACAACACAAAAATCAATTGATGCCATTTTGAATAATGTATTGTGGTAAGCTTCATTTAAGATTTGGTATTCAATAATTTAAAAATAAACTAGCGGACCCGACAGACGTTGTCCTGTCTACACGTCTTTAATTTGAAAATTTCAAACTTTTTTTAATAAGCTAAAATTAAAATTCGAATATTATTTAAAATTTGACACTGCGATGGTAGCGCTGTCAGTCGGATCCAATGTAAAACATTACAAAATCAACAACTACTAATAAAATAAAAATTAATTAAAAAAACATTGTCCAGCAGACGAAATTGTGAATCTAAACCATTCCCAGATCCCCTTGAACACACACAAAAAATTTCATCAAAATCGGTCCAGTCGTTTGAGAGAAGTTCAGTGACACACACTCACAGAAGAATTATATATATAAAGATATTAATAGAAATAAATAAAGCTCAAGTTAAGTACCTCAAGTCTTTGATTGAATAATTATGATATATAATGATGTATGGCATTCTAAAAACATAGTTAAATAAACTTAAACATACCCTCCATCACAGATCTCGTCAAAGGCAAGCATCACAGAGTCCAGGTTCTCCATTATGACTCGCTTCTCAACATTCCTGCGCAGTAGTATGCTGACAGACTCATACAGTGCATTTAGAACTGATTGTAGGATCAACTGAAAATATAGTGACCTAGTTGTAAGAAATTTTTAGAACTGGTCAAGGTTGTGGGTGTATCCTGGATGTGGATAGGACAGGACGGATCATTGGGGCAATCTGCGGGAAAGAACTGTGCCCAACAGTAGGCATCTCATGTTTGTACAAGCAAGTTGTAATGGAGTAATACCTCAATTCAGTCGGTTTAAAATGGTATAAGATTTACATTTTTCCGTACTAAAAATAAACCTAGAAAAAATTATCTTGCACTTCTCTTTTTACTGTTAATAGTGAAACTCAACAAATTCACCAATGAGTCAAACATTTACATCTTTCCAGGGTTATTATAAATTGTACCTCTTTTCATTGCATGGGTTGTCTTTACTATTTATTTGCATACCTCATTCTCATGTGAACTGCCCATAACATAGAAGAAAAGGTCCACATTACTCTTGTAGACACATGTCAAGCCATCCAGCATGATGATCTCTGCATTGGCCCTGAAAACATTTAACATCAGCATCATTACAAGAATCAAATTGTACCCAAAAATATTGATGGTAGATGCAATAAAACAGTGGTTATAAAATATTGGTAGAAAGCATGCGTAAAGGGAAACATGATAGTGGAGACTATGTATCAGTCAAACACAACAACAGAGTGCAGTTGGATTGAGTATTCAAAAATATTTGATGTTCTTTATCAATATGTGCAGGTTGCATCACTATGTTTTCCATCACTGTACGAATGTTGGAAAATGAAAATACTTTCGTTTACTTAACCTGTGAGTCTTGTTGAATAAATTCTTTTCAAAACTTTTCTGTTCTTTTGTTGTTGTAAGTATATTTTTGTCATAATACTTAGCCAAGATTCTGTTGCCTTCATTATCCAGTATGCACATGCCTTTCACTATGTATAATGTCGGCTCCTGGAATGAAAATAAGTCAAATAAATAGATGCCAAAAAAGTAATCGGTATATTAAGTTTTTGAACTTTAATGTTCCCATGTTTCTAAAATAATTTACTAGTAAAAAAAACAATACAAAGTTCTATGTCGGTAATACTTTACTTTAACGAAATGTTCCGCATGAATTATTACATAAAAATATTAAAATATTATAGAAAAATCCATGTTCATGAAATATAGAAAATCGACAACACGTCATTGTTACATATAGGTTAGCATTTCAATTTCGTAAATACAATATTTTTAATCGACTTACAAATAAAGAACCTTCCATAGTAGTGTGAACCATTTTTTTATACTTATTACGCTTACACCCACTAACTTATAATCAAATTGTGGTATAACTAGCGTATTTTTGGTGTTTATTTATTTTGACGTTTTAGAGATGAGTTCGAAATTGAAAGAATTTCGCGACGTGACAGAACCAGTGTTGCCAAATTGTAACAGATAACTAATTGTTACAAACGTGCTAGTAACTGGTAACATTAATCAAAAAATCTGTTTTTTTTTCGATAATTGTAAGAATTATGTTTTCATATTTTATTGAAGTAAAATCCATTAAAAGCTTTTTGATGTAATTATTTACCTTATACACATATATATTTTTTCGTTATTAACTTTTCAGTCCACATTTTAACATGCCTTCTCCACTGAATATAGTGCTCCGATGTGTGATTTTTTTTTAATTGTACTTATCTTACTTCTTTTAGAGAATAACACTGAACAGATTTCAAGTTAAATTTTATAAACTTAAATTACTGTCTATTGATAGTTAAAAGTGTGCTTTTAATTTTATTTATACTGTCGTACGCAAGCGATAATATTTGAAAGTGTAAGCATATAAATTAGTATTATCCATGGCTGCATATATTACATCAATATAGACAATTTGTAAGTCTTGTAATTCCAACATATCAGGCTAAATGTCAAAGTTACAGCTGGCTCTAATCCAAATTCACTAACATTAATCACTCCATGCTAGTGCTATTTTGACTTTAAGCAATTTTAAGAAAAAAAGACCTATACTGAATGCATATTAATCTTTCCTGAGTATGCAATACGGAATGCGTCCAAGACTTGGGAACTATACGATATCGAAAAACGGTGAAGTTATTATTTCACACAATTCCTTTCCTTCCAATTCCTTTGCAATAGGAGCCTTTACCATAGTTATAATCCATTAGTGACCAAAGATATCCAAACAAAAGTCAAAATAAAATCATTAAGGAAATAAATAATATAGAAGTTACATTTTAATTACTTTAAAGCTATGATGTGACACGTTATGGCGGTAACATGGCATCCGAGAATAGACGACATAGTCTTTGATGTCACCGAATCAAATTACAAAAGTAAAACTTCCTCCAGACGTTAGATGTTCATCTGAGACATGTACGTGGATCTAATTTAGGTTAATTTTTGCTTATTGTAATTCAATTACACTCCAAGACAAAAACACCTCAAACTGTAGTTATAACAACAGACTTTAGTTGTAGATTATTTAAATTTTATACCTGTCAAGTTACTACAGAGACACACAAAATAGATTAAAAAAACATCTAAACTAATGTATTTATACTTGGATAGTTGGATTTCCGGGATTTGAATAGAAATCACTGAAGTTCTTAGCCATTTGTTCTAAATTAATTTTAATTATATTACCAGTAAATTACGTAAATTACTTCAAAATGCTACGAAATGATTTAATTACTCAGCCAGAGGAACACATTTCCTCATTACTACGCTTAATTGACGCTTCCCTATACATTCCAGATCGTATTTCCCTTTCTAATTGCTACCGAAATACACTAAAACACAACTAAACAAAACTAAAATACAGTCCTGAACCGTAACGACCGCGGTAAACGATTCACACAAGACAGAAAAAAGTTGAATAAATACCACCAGTAATTTTGACCATTGTATACCTATACGTTGCTCGCATGAGCAGATCTTGTTATAATTGTCGACTATTTTGGGATAGCATATTCATAAATTTCAGTGGACGGCGTTCGTCTAAATCATTTTAACGCCAAAACAGAGCTTAAATGATGTTTGAAGTTATATTTAACGTAACGACACGGATTCGATGCGACATTTTTTTACGGTAGCATAGATTTTTGTCAATGAATAGCTGTTTTAAATTAACAATCGGTATTCGAATTAACGTTTGTGAAACAATGGAGAGACGATTTTGCAATCATGGTCCGAATTGTCGAAGATTGCAAGTTGGTAGCGACTCAAATCTATCTGTTAAAAGATATTCTTTGCTATCACTAAGTGAACCATAGTATAGTTCTACTTTAGTAAAAAAACACAGTAAGTAATATTAATCGAAAATTAATAAAGATATCGTAACAAATAAAAGCTGCACGTGTCAAAAGCCGCGCTTAGCCACCAACTGACAGATGTCGCGCCACGCTCGAGCAAACACTCCGAACTAAACTCACAGGGCTACCAACATCTAAATAATTCCATGTCCGGTGTTCGACCAGATAATTTATTTATGTGAACCGATGATATTTTGTAAATATTTTAATATTTAAATAGTCTATTTAGCATTTCGCTAAAATCCATTATGACGTTAATAATAAAGGTGTCAACTAAAGCCACAACTAGGTTACGCGATAACAAATGCAAACGAGTCCTATATTGTTCCTATTTCGTTCAGTTTTGGCTCAGAAATGTTTTGTAAGTCTAGAAGAGTACAGATGAAATTTCTACAGATTTTTAAATACAACTTTGGAGATAAATTAGTGTTTAATTAATGTTTAACGGATTTTTTGAACTCAATGATGGCGACAGGTTCACCACTTTTCCAGCCTGGTACATCTATCTAACCTACCTTGTTGATGGATGATATAATAATCCTGATATATGTAAGTATACGATGGATGAGCTAAAAGGATGTAAGAGAAAATAATGACTCACTTAAATCGTTTCCTATACGAGAATAAGCTGACCTAACACTTTTGATAGCTAAAAAATCGGCGAGACGAAATTATTGATCTTCATCTCGTTGATTTTTTATTCTCCGACTGTTAGACTGAAACAGATGGATTCATTCCCTTAACTTAATTGGGTTAGATAGAGATTGTCAATGGTATTTCTCGCTTAGCCGTTAATATTATGGGTATATTTAGGTAGGTATAGAAAACTTGTCGCCAATAGAAAACAAACATTTTAAAATAACAACACAAGAATGTTGTTTTGAGTTGGAAGTGTAAACAGCCAAAGAAATTCAATATGCATCGATATAGTGAACGCGGAACACGAAACAGTGATCCACGACTTGCTACCACAAGGTAACAAGTGTAGGGACAAACATATGCAATAATTTTTTGCACTACTAACGAGGGAAGAGTACGATAAAAGTGTTTATAAGGAATTAAAGAAAAGATTCAAGATTAATTTTAATTTCTTTTAAAATACCCAATAACCATTTCTGCTGGGCAAATGATCCTTAAAGTTAAAAGTTATTTTCCACTGATATTGATGGCTTGAGTTAAGTCATTTCTACTAGGTCCTATTGCATCGCACTACATATATTTCTAAGGTTTTCATTAAAAATATTCACGTTTCTAACTAATAGCGAATCGTAGATAACAAAATACTATTTGTTGATTTAATATTTACACTTTAATGGATATTCACATTAGAAAAGAATGATTATAAGTTGTTTTCTGAAAGCTATCATTTACGAGACAAAATAAATAAGAACTCATTTTCCAAAACACTTTTGACACATTAAATAGTTGTCATTCGTATAAAAGCGGTAAATGTAATGTCAGAACTTAATGACCAAAGAGTAAAAAGTAAAGTGCTTACGTCATTGTCTTTGGTCAATGACTGGAGATCGGAGAGCATACGGCCAGGGTCGTCTATTATTTTCTTTTTTTTTCGTAATCGCTACGCCGATGTAGTGTGACAGACTATTTATAAAAGCGTCTCTTTTCTTTGACCATTACTTTGTGTCTTTGGTATCTGTGACTATTTGTCTCTATTGTGTTTTGTGATACACCGCCACAGTCATTAGGCGTCTTTATTTTTAATACAGCCGCGTCGGCTGGTAAGAAATGAATAAAAGTTAGCGCATCAAAAGATTAATTATGGTTCTGTACTATGAATAAGTTTAAATTAATTTTAATAACAAAAATAATATTGTATATTAGGAAATTGAAACATGGAACATTTTTACGGAAGAAAAAAACGAAGTAACCTAATAGTTTCAATATATTCAATCTTAATCATCGTCAGTCTGTTTCGATTTATTAGTTTTCTTGCTTCTATTATTAGTAGACCTAGGATCCCAGAATGAACATTAGTAATTCTAGATAACATTTCACTAGATGTCGCCTTTCTCGGCTTGTCTCTTGTCGGTTGGGTAACTAACTAACTAACCTTGGGTTTTTGAGACCTAAATCTCCGTTCAACATATTGTTATCTCTGTTTTGCCAAAGATGATAGACAGGGATGACGATTAATTTTATATAGAGATTTGCGTTCAGAAATTTACGATAATTAGGTTAAGTTACGAATGCATTTATGGAATTCCATTTAATACCAACAATCTTGGTAACTTGATAACTTAAAGTACAGGATATTTAATGCTTCTAGGTAAAAATTTATAGAAACGCGTAGATTCGAATCCTTTTAAAACACTCGCGATAATAATTATAAAAAGTAAACGTCGTATTTTTTTCTAAAACCTAAGCACATCTAAGTCTAAGCGAGGAACATTAACGTAACTTTTTCTTAGAAATAACATTTCTGCTTTTATTTATTTTGTTTAGTAAATTTTCTACATATAAAGTATATTTGTGTATTATATTTTACTAATCTTACTTCTTACTAATAATATAATTGTTTGGAAGGATGGATGATGGATATTAGTTTGAAAGTATTTTCAGAACGGCTGCATGGTTCTTGTTGAAATTTGGCCCAGATGTAGAAAATAGTTTGGAATAACACATAGGCTACTAATCAACTTTTTTTTAAACCCGCGCAGAAGGAGTCACGGGCAATAGCTAGTAAACAATATTAATAAGGAATGATATTTTTAATATTAAAAAGGTTTTTTAATAGGGTTTATCGTAATGCGTGCGGACCCCCATAGACAATGAATTGACGGGCGTCACTAATCGATTAGTGTTACAAAGACTTCTTAATTGTTACCCGGTCCGATTTTATAGTTGTTACAATATAATACTTACTTTTAGTTCTGTCTACGACTCGCGGACTTGATTGGAAGTACAGACGCGTAGAAAACTTACTAATTGTATTTTTTATTTTATGCAATATATTATAGGAAGAAAATCATAGATAGAAACTTTTCTGTCTGACTGTACGAAAATCCACCTTCTGTAATCATCGAAACGAATGGATTGATTTTGATGTTACTTTTATGGGAAGATTAAGTGTACGAGA